AATTAATTCGGTGTTAAGACATAAAATAAAAAAAAAACTAATTTAAAACAGTATAAAAATGACCCGGATCAGCTTAGTTGATCATGAAATATAGATAATCTTATAGAGAACAAGTCAAAATAAACCATAAAATTTTAATTCTTGATTAATTCAATACTAAATAATAAAAATAAAATAAAAATTGATGAAAAAACTTAAATGAATAAAATTTATTTGTCAAACTTGCCGTCTGAATAACGAGGCAAGATAGCCTCATAATAAAATTAATTAAAAAAATAATAAAATTAAATTTTTAATAAATTTAATACCGGGAGGTGAAATAAAAAATAAAAAATAAACATAAATTATAAATAAAAAATAAACAAAATAACACTCAAGTAATTAGAGTTATGTAAATAAAATACATGAAAACTTCATGTTTTTTTTGTTTTGTCAACATGGCTGAAAGGATAATTGTCTTTGATACGAATAGAAAACCTAAACATTTAATAATTAATGTAAGATTATCAAGAAATGTATATATTTATGGTAATATTGGGTTACTATTTTAAGATAATAGAGATGAAGATGATAATGATAAAAGAGACATTTATTTTTTAAAATATACAAATTTATTCTAAAATTATATTTATGCTGAAGAGATAAATTTATTTTATATTTTTTACAATTGAACTATTTATATTATTTTTTCACTTTTTTCTCATAAAACACCAATCAATCACGACCACTGAAATAACTTTTCGTCCTCTTCGACACATCCTTGACATGTGCCATCTGTCCATCCAGGAAGCTCCCTTGTCTCCGTCCAATCTCTTTGTCAAAATAAAGAAGGAAACGCTTCCTCCACACAAAAAGCTCTGCCGGTTCAAATGTCTATGATAACCAAGAGCGGTCCAATCGGACCGCAGAAGCAAAGGTCGGTTGGCTCAATCAGTCACGCGCGTCTTTTCCAACGTCTACGTCATTCCATTTAATAAGAAACACGTATAATAATTCCTGGGTCCAGCTGTCCTCTCATCTTCGAGGATCCAATGCTCTACGATGTTACAAAAATGCCCATTGATATTTGTTCAAATTACAAAAAGTATCCAAGATCATTCGCATTTTGTGACCTGCTTTTATTAATTGCTTCTTCGCTAGCTTCCTTGCTAAGTTGTCGACGCTACATTTTACTTGGGTGGTTCTGTATTTTATTTTAATTATAGATTTAAAGATATTTATTTTATTAAAAAACACCATAATTTTACATATATTTAAATATTTTTTTTTTAAAAAAAGTATAATTTATATATTTTTAATCTATTTTGTTAACCTACAACCATAGAAGTCAAATATATATTAAGAGGTGTTTAAAAGAGTGATAGTAATTATTTTTTTAAAAATCATTTAAAAATATATTAAAATAATATTATTTTAATTCATTTTTTCTATTATTACATCATAAAAAATTAAAAAATATAAAAATTAATATTTTAAAAATTAATATTTTAAAAATTAATTCTAGCTAATCTTCATCATTTGGACTGCTATAAAAAACACAGGCTAAATCTAATTTGTTTTGAAATTTTAGTATATTTGGTAATGTATTTATGATTGTTTTTTAAATAATTTTTTATTTAAAATGTATATTAATAATATTTTTTATTTTTAAAAAAATTATTTTTGATATCAATATATTAAAACAATCTAAAATATATTAAATTTTAATAAAAAATAAAATATTTTTTAATTTTTTAAAAATATAATTATACTACGTTCCTGAACGGTGCCTTAAAGGTAGGATTTGATTTTTCAAATAGTAAAAACTGATCTCCAAACCCCGGGCATGTAAATACTTTTAAAAAAATATTATTGTAATAAAAACCGTCGACTCTTTCACATGTAAATTAATTAAATAACCATTTTTTTTTCCAAACCCATCGCAGAATGATTCAGCGACCAGGGGACTTTCCTCACGAATTTCCCAATGAAAAGCGCATTTCAAAGATCCAAACCGTGTCTATTGTGATTGCTCGCATGGTTCTCGTGAATTGTGGTCATAAGCAACTCTTATAGATCAATTTCTTTCTTTGAAAACAGTAAATAGCTTTAATTAATTTTTTTATTTTTAAGTTTCGACCTGTATGATAATGGAGCAGGCATCAAATTGTTTGTTTGTTAGTTTTAAATGAAAGTAAAGGGAGGGAGGGGGGAGATTTTGTTCATATCTGGGAAGTCATTGGAATAAAAAAAATTGTTTAGATTACTCCCATTGTTACAAAAATTAAAAAAACAATCAAAGATAAAATACATTTGTGATGCCTAGAGACCGTGGTTAAATAAATATCTAGTTTCTGACTAATTTACTTGTTTTAATAAAATATAAAATATTAGTTATTTTTTAATCTCTCAACACAAGAAAATTTTTTTATACCATCACAGTTAGTCTGTTTATTTTTATATTTTTTTAAAAAAATTAAAAAATTAAAAATTAATATATTTTAAATAATTTTAATATGTTAATATTAAAAATAATTTTAAAAAAATAAAAAACTAATAACATATATTTTAATATAAAAAAATTATTTAAAAGTAACCACATAAACTTTTAATGTATTTCTGTCTAATTTTGTGTGCACATCTTTCAAAAAGATCCCTACTACAGAAGCATTGCATGAACACAAGAATTTTATGTGTTTTAAAATATTTTTTATTTTAAATTATATTTAAATTATAAAAAATATTTAAAAGCATATCTTTATGTACGCTTGCATGACACATAAAGTTGACATCTAGTTTGCTTTTTTTTACTTTTACATTCGAAAAGGATTTCTGCCGTACAGAGAATATTTTTTCTCTAATTTTGGTTGGACGGATTTTTTTCCGTTCACAGTAGAGCAGAGGAATTCAATGTTTTCTATGGTTTCGAATTTAGATTTGTTGCTGTAACAAGTTAATGTTATTAATTTAACAATAAATAAATAAAACACTTAGAGAACTGGCTCCACAGTAGCGTGACAGCAAGAAAACGGTTGGAGTGGTTCGTGGCATTATCGTAGTTAAGAGAAACCATAAGGGCTGAAATTTAAGATAGACGATAATTATGGCACCGCTGGCATCGAACCCACGTCAGATACAGCGCCTCTCGCAGCCAAAGTACTGGCGGGGTATTCCCTCTCCCAGCTACCCCCACCACGCTCCTTAAATCACGTTGTTAAAATAAAGGTTTGTTAGGCGGTGGGGTACGTGATGTTTTCTTTTTTAATATATTATTTTTATATTTAAAATTTGTATTTAAACAATAAAAAATTAAATTCATTAACAAACACGCTTTTAAATATATTTTATTTGAAAATATATTAAAATAATATTTTATTTTTATTTTTAAAAATTACATCAAAGTAATAATAAAATTTAATTTTTTTTTGAAAAACATACATAGTTCAACTACAATTCTAGAATGCAACCTAACTAACTATCTTATCTAAATTCAATTTTTTATTTGCAGTCATCCCGTGTTTTAAGGGTAAAGTAATAATATTACATTATTTTAATATAAATATTTAATTTAAAAATTTCATGTCCATATTAACAATAGCAATTTGACGCCATCAAAATGGCGTTTCTTTTCTTTGAATTTGAGAATTAAAATGTGATATTTTTTAAAATAAAATAAAGAGTTATTTTAACGATTTCTTGCGGAAGAACAATACGGTAAGAATAGATAAAGGAGGAGTTAACGTCTGCGTAAACAGTGATTATTTTTTATGATAAAAGTTATCGTGACTTGAGGATGACATTAAATAATAACAAGTAAGAAATGCAACGTTACGGAAAATTGAGACCTTTCCTATACCAGAATGAAAGATGAAAAGTAGCAGTTGACAAATAAATAATATATTTAGGAAAAAAATTAAAGTAGTTGTTGACTAATCACGCTAGTAATTCTCTTAATAAATACAATATCCAACCAATACAATTTCATCAAATATTACAAAACTAAAGGAATTAAGGGGGTTATTATTATTACTATTATTATATAACCAGTATTTATCTTAAGAATTAATTGGTTTGTAAAACAAAAAAAAAAGTCACCGAATTTGTTCTTGGAATTTGTGTGTGTTCAGCAAGGTCTCATGTTTTATAAATTACTTTTAGTTATGATTTAACAAAAATAAATTAATATATTTTCAATGAAAATGATTATAAAATATATTTTCACATGTATTTTAATTTTTTCGAGAAATCAAGGTTTGAAATATATTATATGAAAGCTTAGTGTTTTTTAGTGATTGTTTAAAAATATAATAAAATTTAGTTTTAAAATATATGTTTACTTAAAAATATTTAAAAATAAAAGTTAAAAAATCTGAAAATACGGTTGAAATATAAAGTGAAAATAAAACAACAAAAAAAAAATCCGCTCCGTGTTTCTCACGTATCCCTAGTGAGATTGGCATAAGAAACTGCGCCCTAATCCTCAAATGATCAAATCCACGGTCTCATCCTCCTTTCTCCTTCCCTTATAAAATCAACCCTCTCCACTCCTCTTTCTCCACGTCAACTCCAACGTAGGGTTTCCTCTCTTCCTCTTATCTTTATTGGTTTCCTTTATTTTGCTGCCAAGAAATCTTGTCTTCTCGATCTGTTTCTGGAAAAATAACATGGGAGTTCTTGTTGTAAATCCTCAAGATTGCCTGAAAAATCCCTTACAATCACAACCACAACCACAACGTATGAGGTTCACACGGAACCCTAACCTCAACAACCCCCGCCCAAACCGGGCACAACCCAACCGCCGAAAACGGAGTCCCAACTCATCCCCACCTCCACGCGCCGCTGTACCCAAGAACAACAACAGCAACCTTGTTATGGGACAAGTCAGGATTCTCAAACGAGGCAAAGAAGATTTAATCGAGCCCGGAAAGAAGGACGAGACTCCAAGAGGGAGTCATAACACAGAGGCTGTGAAAAGTGAAGACCTGGGTTTTGTCTCAACCAACAGGCTGGGTCCTGATGCCGTTCTGGTTCCGACTCAGGTCCAACTCGCTGAGTCGATGGACATAGTTAATGGTTTTTATGCCGGATCGGCTTTTATTACATCCCCGCCACCCAGTTCTCTTCCTCTACCTGGCTTTTTCACGAAGAAGACAAATAACCTTGTTGCTGTTGATGCAAGCAGTGAGATAATGAAACTTTTAGGCCTTAGTTTGTAGTTTCATCAAGGTTTCTTTTATTGGGTTTTGAAGCTGCTGCTGCTGCTGCTCTGGCAGATGGGATTTGAAGGCTGAAGATGATGATGTAGATGGGGTTTTGTTTTTTGATGTTTTGCATTCGATTGTCCCGTATTTTTTCAAGGGGAGAAATCGAATTGCTTGACCTTAAAATTCTTAGTCTTACTGGGTGCGTGCGCTCGCTGTTTCTGCGTGTATAGTTTAATTATCAGTTTGTGTGAGTCCATTGCTAGAATTTAGAATCTCTAAGGTCATTCGGGGTATTTAAGGTTACAGTTAGCTCCTTTTAAGTTAATGATGGTTTAGTTTTAATATGTTTAATTTTGTAACAGGTGCCTGTCAAGATGACCTTTGATGCCCTTTGTTTTTAGGGGTTGTCTTTTTGAATCCCTGTTCATGCTGTGCTTGATTAGTTGTCTTAATAAAAATCAAATCTTTTTAGTGTGTTAAATCCCCTTGTGTTTGCCAGCTTAAATTGTAATTCGGTTTGTTTTTTACACTTGTTAATCAATAACAACTCTCTAAGGCAAGAGCTTGTTTAAGATTCCATGTCTCGCACTTTTGCTTGCCATCCAAACCAGATTATCTGGGTCACCCATTGAAGCTTGAATCCCGGATTCAAGCATTCAAGACATGAATCTGCCAACGGATCAAGCATGATCCTCTGTTTTCGCATTTGAAGCGGAGAAGCCATCCCTCTTATCATGTTTGCATCATCCTCTAGTTCGAAGTTTCACAATCTTGAGTCGCCCATAAAATTTTGTTGTTGCAGAGAAGTCTGCAGTTATGTTTGTGGTTTCGGGCAGGGCTGTGAGGAAGTGTTTCGCTAAATTTATGTTTGCAGCGTGGTTGCTATGACTCGCTAAATTTATGTTTGCAGCGTGGTTGCAATGACAACTATTTCAACAATGCTAATTATTTCATTATATTTTTTTATATTATACATACCGGATCGTACTTGCTTCTTGTACATAGCTATTTCAATAATCCTGAGTGGGGGGCACTTTTAACAAAAGAGAAGATGCTTTCACTATTACATCGTTACTTTTTCCAAAAAGCTGTCGTCTGTATTTCTTTGTGAAAGAAATAATGCTCTAATTATATTCAAAGAGTTTTCCCGACAAGATTCAAATCTCTGCCAAATTATTGAGTGTAAGGGTATAATTATTAAATCTGATTTAACTTTTTAGAAATTTATAAACTTTGAATATCAAACCCGTCAAGATTTAAATTGAAAAAAAATAAATTAATTCAGTAACACTTTAATAATGTATTAGATTTCTAATAATTTGGTTAATCTAACTAAATATAACTAGATAAACTTTGTTTTTTTTTTTAATATTCTAATAATTTGGTTAATCTAACTAAATACAACTAGATAAACTTTGTTTTTTTTTAATAAAAAATATTATTTTTATAAAAACAATTAATATGAATGAATTTGATGATTCGGGAGTTAGCACAATAGTTGACGAGTTGATCCAGTGTTTTGATAATCCAAATCCATTTTCGGGACATTCCTCGTGTAATAGCTATCTACAGTGGTGCAAATATTAGGAGCCGTCAAAATTAACAGCAATCAAAATTAAATTAGGGGAGGTTTTGGTGAATTTAGTTACAATTATTTTTTATTTGAAAATATATTAAAATAATATTTATTTTATTTTTAAAAAATATTTTTGATATCAACACATCAGAATAATATAAAAATATCAAAAAAAATTAATTTAAAATAATAATTTTTTTTAATTCTTTAAAAGATATTCTTTAAAAAAAAAAAACACACATTTTTACCACTGTGAGCTTTTAACTTTTAGCTGGGCCGAAAGGTAGTTTAGGGTCAAGAATTGGACTTTAGAAGAATAAACAGTGGCCTCGCAAGAAGGATATTAAATTTTCTCATCAACCACGACAATACAGGGCATGAGTTTTTCACTGTAATTTTAGATATAAATTATTGTCTATTGCTGTGATGATTTTTTTTAGTTTAAAAATTAAAAATCGTGATATTAGGGGTAGTTTTATCCTTTTTTAATGATTCGTTAATTATTAAAAAATTATTAAATACATGTGTCTATCTTCTTTTTTTAAAAATAAATAGTAAAATTATTTATTTACCCATGATATCCAAAAAATTAGAATTTTTTACCAAGAATTTGTTTATTTTTTTTGTTATAATACAATAAAAATATATATTTACCCTTAAAAAAAACAAGACGTGTCTAGAGATATCTTTATCCTTTTACACGAGATTAATTTTTAAATTTTCAAGAATATAGAGAGTATTTAGTTATTTTATATTGGATAACGTGAGATATTACTCGATAGATAAACATATCCTTTCACTTTATTTTTGGAAGCATAATTATTTTCTCTTTCTTCTAATATAGCGCATGATATGTAATTTGTCACCGATAGTCATTTTGTTTTTCTCTTTCTCTCCAACCCAAAAAGGTATCTGGTTGTCTTTTTTGTTTTTATTTTTTTGATTTCTTGTTTTCATTCCTATCCCTCGTATAAAATTCATGTTTATTTTCATTTTAGTTATTTAATTACAATTTATCATGTATTATTTTTTTCATTTTATTCTTTATTATTTTATTTTATTTTTTATTAAAGTTTATGTTTTTTTTCTATTGTAGCCCTCATTCTTTTGATATGTTTTTCCTTTTGTTATATTTATTTTTTTGTTTTAATTTAACCTGTTAATTGAATGCTTTTTGTTGTCTTCTGATTTTTTTTTCTAGCCCATTCTTTTAATAACAACCTTTTGTTTTAAATCTTTTTGTGTGATTAATGTCTTTTTATGTTTTTTTTTATATGTTGTTTGATTTGTTGCAAATTGAACTTTATGATTTTCTCAATTATAGTATTTTTGATCTAATAATTCGAGTTACCATTTTGAAAAGTTAATATGGTTCAATGTCTTTTATTACCACATTTTATTTTATTATTTTATCATTCTAGATTATTAGTTAAAAAAATGGTTTTGTGACTATTTTTATTTTTTTTTAATTGAATTATCCTGATCTTATGATTTTGATCACTCGTTTTACATGTTTTTTATATTTTTTTAAAAAATATATTTGTATTTAATATACAAAGATGCTATTCTATTCATTTATGTTTTTTATTATTCTATACAAATAAACTTTATTTTTAAATATTTATTTTAAATACTTATTTTTATAAATAAAAAATATTTATTTTAAATATGAGGCTAAAACCTATTATAAATGAAAAATATATCCATGCACATTATCTAAACTTAAACATATTAAACTTGGGGTGCATTCTTGAGTGCATGGGGGCGCTGAGGCGTACACCTAATAAGGCTGGATATATGTCCATCCTGGATGAACACGTTGCATGCTATCTGGAGAGTTGGGTTCGGGGCTACTGCACTGAAACCCACTTTATTTAGGCCACTATTGTATATTAGGCTTGGGTTATAAAGCTTGAGCGAGCCTTTCTTAAGGTATCTTTCAAGTTCATTTTGGAGGTTTTTTTACTTGGATCCAACAATCATCTTTTTTTTTTCTTGATTAATTCATATAAAATTAATTTATTTAGTTGGCTAGAACTATAACTTGGGTTATTAAAGTTTATTTTTTAAAAAAACATACTTACAATAGCTAAATACTATATGGAAAAAATAGCATGGACCCATAATGCAATGCAACTTCTCATCCAGTTAGAGAATATTTGGAAATGTGATTTTTTAAAAGAATTAATTTTTTGGTTAAAAATTATATTTTTTATGTATTTTAAATTATTTTAATATACTATATTAAAAATAAAAAATATTTTTTTAATATAAAAAACATCTTAAAAAAACACCGCAACCATATTCCCATTCAATGACTTAATCTACTTCCACCAAATTTACCATTGCAGGCTTAATTAACAACTCCTAACATTTTCACAACCTAGATGCACAGGCTTGTACCGTTTGTTCTTGCTCTTGTAACCTTCCAAAAAGAAGTAGGACTCAATTAAACTATTTTACAACTAGAAGGACTCACCTCTCTTCCCAACAAAACTATTCCCACCCACCTATAGCCAAACACACCCTCTCGTCCCCCTCCCTCTAGCGCAACCACCGAAAGTCGAAACGTTTCACTGCTCCACCACCCTCTCCAATTTCTAACGTTGTCAGTCTTACACTCCACTCCCTACTGTAACACCCCACACCTCCACCTTCATTCACCGTCTGATCCCATCATGGAACCAGACGTAAGCGTAGAAACCTCCGCCATGATCCGAATCGCCATTATCCCAATCGGCAAAATCCCTCACCAAACCCTACGCGACTATTACTCCATGTTCCTCCACCATCACACGATCCCACTCTCCTCCATCTCCTCCTTCTACACTGAAGAACAAAAATCACCATTCACCAATCAACCTTGGGAAACCGGTTCGCTCCGGTTCAAATTCGTCCTAGGCGGTGCACCGCCTAGTCCATGGGAAGATTTCCAGTCAAATCGTAAGATCTTGGCTGTTATTGGTGTTTGTCATTGTCCGTTATCGCCTGATCTTGATTCAGTTATTGAAGAGTTCGATGGAGTCTGTAAAGGTTACGCTTCTGCGCGTGTTACTCGCTGTTTCGGTTTTTTTCCTTGTGATTCTCAGGTTAGTTACTTGCTTCGCTGTATTTTAGTAATTTTTTTTATTTCTTAATTGGAATCGGATCGGATTTGTAATTATATTGTTTTTTTTTTTTAATTTTACGACAATGACAATGACTATGATTATGATTGAGCTAAATGCTAAGGAATGGTTTTTTGAATTTCTCTTTTCATGTGTTGTTTCTGTTGGATTACGCATCATAGAGATTTATGTGGATATTAGGTGTTTTAGATTTAAATGTGATTTAATTTGCTAAACTAGGAGGTTAGGATTCCGTGAGAAATGAGGAATGAAACTAATATATGAAACTTTTGGGGTGGAGTGGAAGTTAGGATTGAGATTCTAGTTTGCTTGCTGGCCTGCTTTCAAGATGAACCTGGGTTTTGATTTCATTGAATCTGAAGTGGTTTTTGATGTAAATGTCAAGCAATTGTCTCTCTTATTTGGCTGATCAGTGGTTTGATTCACATGGTTTTGTTACAGTTAGAGGATGGTGGGAAAAAGGGAGAGAATTTGAGATTGTTTCCGCCGGCAGATCGTCAAACGCAGGAGATGCATTTGCAGACAATGATGCAAGAGATAGCAGCTTCATTGTTGATGGAATTTGAGAAGTATGTTTTTCAAGCGGAATCTGCTGGAACTATACTCAAGACGCCTTTGGATTCTCAAGCTAGTTTAAGCTCAGAGGAGGTTTATTTTCAGGTGTCCTAAGGATTTTGAATCTGGAAATTTTATTCTGAAAGTTTTTGTTTTGTAATGTGATGCCATGTATTTTGTAACCTGTAGGTTGATAATTTTGAGTTTTGTTAAAA